TCTCTGTTTGTCAGGCATCACTTGGCCATGTTCCACACAGACTATTCCATGGTTGTTTCTTGTGCCAACTGTTTGTGAGGCATTCCTTCCAGGACCTTTTACTTATGGGCATTGGACATATACTTCTGGGCCAATTCACATTGGGTTGATCTTCTTGCCTGTCTTTTGCCAGGAGCTTAAATCTTGGTTGTGGGCCACCTCTCTTGGCCAGTCCATATTCTACCAATGGAATGGACTCTACACTCCCATGTCTTTCATAGGATTTAATATTGGCTGGACATGCCCTTCTTGGACACAGTTGCACTCCTGTCAATGCCATACTTCTTATGGTTCCTTATTCCTTATCCTTTGGCTCTAGCTGTTCAGTATTGTCAGCCAGTGTTCTGTATGTATATCTCCACCCTCTGGTCCTTGGCTTCCCATGCTTCTCTCCTTCTTGGACCCTATTAATGTGACCAGCTCAGCTTTGGTCCACTCGACATTGGGACCCCCCCCCCCCCTCACCAATCTCTTTTGATTCACCCTCATGCATCCATTCTTTATCAAGGGATAATTTCCCTCTAACCTCAGACTTAAAATTTACCCAAACTGTCCATCATTGGTCTGACTTTTCAATTATGTGGTATTCTACTTGTCACTTTTCTATTGCCCTTCTACTGCCTTTGTCTATCAACAACTGTGGCAAGTATTTTGTCATTGATCCTTCTGCCACTCATTTACTCCTGGCCATAATACTGTGTACCATCCTTCTATCTTTTTGTCCCCAAGTATGTGTCAAAAAATTGTTATTCTCTATCTTTGCTAGTTGTCAGGAGGCTTTGTCCATGACATTTCTCCTTTCCTGGTACAATAAGGTGTTTCTTCCCCTGTCCTCTTCACTCTTCTGCTCCTACATTCTTCTCTGTCCTCCTTGCCCAACTTTCATGCCTGTCTGAGACCTTAGTTTGGTTTTGTATGTTCTCATGCTTATCCCATTTGAGCCATTAATTTCCTACCTTTAGTAGCATCATTCTCTCTTGACTTGGTTCCTCATTTTTCTCTGCTGCAATTAATTTTGCTTAGATGTCTATCCTATAGATGCTTGTCACACCTTCTACCACTCTTACATACTCCTCTCCATGGCCTGATCTTTCTTTTCTCAGACTTAACCACTTGGGAGGTTGACCTTACTTCTATCCTTTTTCCCTTCTTTCTGCCTCTCACCTTTTGGACTGTTCAGACTTGGATCGGCTCCTGTGTTCAGATGGGCTATTTGGTGTGCCTTATTATGTAACTCTTCCCTTCGGGACTCCTTTTTTTTCCAATGACCTCTCTTCTTCTACCCTTAATGGATGGGTCTACAATGCCTCTTGTTATTAAGTTTATCTAGAGATGTGACATTTCTTCTTCACTGGCCTTAGGATGAGCTCCTCCTCTACACCTTCTGGTTGTTTTGTCACCTGTTGGTTTTTGGCTTCGTTTTCGTTTCCTAGCAGTTCGGAAATAATTACTAATCTGGGGTGCTCGAAGATTAAACAATCCTCCTTTACCCTGCTCGTGATCTAGGAATATGGGCTTAACTTGAAAAAATAGGAAATTAGTGCAGACGAGGTATGTAATTTTAAAAAGGTAAAGAGAGAGTAACTGTAGACAATAAAAAGTGAAGAGCAAAGTAAACAAAATGGCCGATATCGAACAGATGGTCCATCAAGGCGGCGGGGATCTAAAAATCCTATGCCGAGAATTTAATGTGGGGGGGGGAAACGGGAGTACCTCGAGAAAACCCACTTTCACTGGTAACGACTGATTAGTTACCAGTGCCCGATTAATGAGAAGAAGTAAGTAGGGAAGGCAAAGTGAAGTCCGGTGCTGGGGGTTGATTAGTTTTTGAAACTGTTGTGGAGTCTCCTGGAGTTTATCATGGTTTTAAATTGGCACAGTTTCTGGTTCTATGCAGGTGGTAAAGGCATGGAGTTCTCGGTGTCATTGGTGAGTGAGCGGAAGACTGAGAAAGGTTCGTCAGGTAGGTAGAGATCGGAGGAGGTGTTGATTACTAAGGCATTCGGTGAGCTTGACGCCGATGATGTAGAAAGTGGCTTGGGGCTGGGAGGCTTTTGTTGGTTTGTTGATAGGCGTCAATGGTAAATGGTGGCTGAGTCTGGGTGCCTTTTTTCCTCCTGGTAGTGGTGGTTTGGGTAGACATATCTTGTGTTTCAGGAGTGGGTGAGGTTTGAGTAGGATGGGCAGTAGAGTACTGGTTGGCAGTGGTTTTCTTCTGGGTGTTGTGAAACGTGGGCTTGGGGGGTGGGTTAGGAAAGGTATGGGGTGGGTGAGGCTTGCAATAAGGTTTTTCTGCCTTGAAGTGATGATAATCAAGGAAGCAGCCGTGGATGAGGGTGAAATCTGCTGTATTTTTTGAAGTTGTGACAACTTTCATAAACATGGAGGGTGAACCTGTTTTCTTTGATTGGATACAGTGGACTGCGTGGATCGTGAAGTTGGTTGTAATTTTCAGAGCTTGATGTATTTCTTCTGGCATAAAGGATAGATGAGCGTTCCGGAGAAATAATATGTGGACTAGCATTG